ACACGGCAGACCAAAAAGGAGCACGGCAGACCACACAAGAGCACGGCAGACCCCACAAGAGCACGGCAGACCCCACAGGAGCACGGCAGACCCCACAGGAGCACGGCAGAGCAGACCCAAAAGGAGCACGGCAGACCACACAGGAGCAAGGCAGACCACAGGAGCACGGCAGACCACAAAGGAGCACGGCAGACCACACAAGAGCAAGGCAGACCCCAAAGGAGCACGGCAGACCACACAGGAGTACGGCAGACCCCACATGAGCACGGCAAATCCCAAATGAGCACGGCAGACCACAAGAGCACGGCAGACCACACAGGAGCACGGCAGACTCCACAGGAGCACGGCAGACCACAAAGGAGCACGGCAGACCACACAGGAGCCCGGCAGACGCCACAGGAGCACGGCAGACGCCACAGGAGCACGGCGGAACCCACAGGAGCAGCAGATCCCGCAGGAGCACGGCAGACACCACACGAGCACGGCAGTTCCCAAATAAGCACGGCAGATCACAGAAGCACTGCAGACCACACAAGAGCACCGCAGACCTCACAGGAGCACGGCAGACCCCACAGGAGCACGGCAGACCCCACTGGAGCACGGCAAACCACAAAGGAGCACGGCAGACCACAGGAGCACGGCAAACCACACAGGAGCACGGCAGACCACACAGGAACACGGCAATCCCCACAGGAACACGGCAGACCGCGCGCAGGTACAACATAAACGCGCCTTTTGTTGTACCCCGAACGCCGCTGGCGTTTCCCCCACAGGAGCACGGCAGACCCCACAAGCTCGCGGGAAACCCCAAATGACCACGGCAGACCACAGGAGCACGGCAGACCACACAGGAGCACGGCAGACGCCACAGGAGCACGGCAGACCGCGCAGGAGCACGGCCGGCGCCGGAAAATTGAATTCCGAGGCGGTGCCAAAAAAAGGCCACTCCAAGACACATTTTTCTTTCGAAAATATTGATTTTCTGCTCCCGGCGCCCGGGAACCCCTTCCGGGCCGCTTCCGGCACCCGGGCCGGCGCTCGAGCCGAACGCCTGGGCCAGCACCCGGGCCAGCGCCCGGGCCGGTTCCGGCGCCGGGCGGCGCCGGAAAATTGAATTCCGAGGCGGTGCGGAAAAAAGGCCACTCCAACACATATTTTTCTTTCGAAAATATTGATTTTCTGCTCCCGGCGCCCTGGAACCCCTTCCGGGCCGCTTCCGGCACCCGGGCCGGCGCTCGAGCCGAACGCCTGGGCCGGCACCACACAGGAGCGCGGCAAACCACAAAGGAGCAAGGCAGACCCCAAATGAGCACGGCAGTCCACACGTTCGCACGGCAGACCGCACAGGAGCACCGCATACCCCACATGAGCACGGCAGACCAAGAAGGAGCACGGCAGACCACACAGGAGCACGGCAGACCACACAGGAGCACGGCAGACCACACAGGACACGGCAGACCCCATGGGAGCACGGCAGACCACACAGGAGCACGGCAAACCACACAAGAGCACGGCAGACCATACAGGAGCACGCCAGACCACACAGGAGCACGGCAGACCATACGTTCGCACGGCAAACTCCACAGGAGCACGGCAGACCCCAAAGGAGCACGGCAGTGGTACGTGGCACTGCTGTGGTATGCCGTACTAAAAACGTGGAATATCTCATAAGCCCAGGGGACAAAAGGACGCTTCCCGTTCTTGTCCGGTCAGGTTCCCCAAAATGGCCATTTCGCTCGATACATCCTCCTAAAATCGAGGTGTGGTCTGCCGTGCTCCTGTGTGGTCTGCCGTGCTCCTGTGGTCTGCCGTGCTCCCCACAGGAGCACGGCAGACCGCGCGCAGGAACCGAGAGGAGCACGGCAGACCAAGACGAGGAGCACGGCAGACCAGGCACTGAAACCGAGAGGAGCACGGCAGACCAAGACGAGGAGCACGGCAGACCAGGCACCAAGAGCGCCCTCAAGACGACGGAAAGGATGACCAAGACGAGGAGCACGGCAGACCAAGACGAGGAGCACGGCAGACTATGCCCTAAGAGTGCCCTCAAGACGGCCGAACAAGCGGGACGTTTTGGCTGAATCCTTGAGTAAATATATCTTTTCTTTAACTATATGGGTTGAGCACGGCAGACACCACACGAGCACGGCAGATCCCAAATGAGCACGGCAGACACAGAAGCACTGCAGACCACACAAGAGCACCGCAGACTTCACAGGAGCACGGCAGACCCCACAGGAGCACGGCAGACCCCACAGGAGCACGGCAAACCACAACGGAGCACGGCAGACCACAGGAGCACGGCAAACCACACAGGAGCACGGCAGACCACACAGGAGCACGGCAATCCCCACAGGAGCACGGCAGACCGCGCACAGGTACAACATAAACGCGCCTTTTCTTGTACCCCGAACGCCGCTGGCGTTTCCCCCACAGGAACACGGCAGACCCCACAAGCTGGCGGGAAACCCCAAATGAGCACGGCAGACCACAGGAGCACGGCAGACCACACAGGAGCACGGCAGACGCCACAGGAGCACGGCAGACCGCGCAGGAGCACGGCAGACCACGCATGAGCACGGCAGACCCCGCAGGAGCACGGCAGACCCCATAGGAGCACGGCAGACCACAGAAGAGCACGGCAGACCAACAGGAGCACGGCAGACCACACAAGAGCACGGCAGGCCACACAGGAGCACGGCAGACCACACAGGAGCACGGCAGACCACAAAGGAGCACGGCAGACCACACAAGAGCACGGCAGACCCCTTAAGAGCACGGCAGACCCCACAGGAGCACGGCAGACCCCACAGGAGCACGGCAGAGCAGACCCAAAAGGAGCACGGCAGACCACACAGGAGCAAGGCAACCCACAGGAGCACGGCAGACCACACAGGAGCACGGCAGACCCCACAGTAGCAAGGCAGACCCCAAAGGAGCACGGCAGACCACCGGAGCACGGCAGACCACACAGGAGAACG